TCTCTCTTTTTAATTCTTTCATAAAGCTAATGTTTTATGGAAATATTGTCCAACAGTGAAAACTCAGCTGGTAATCACCAGTGTTTCTAATGACAGAATGCAGAACTTCTGTTAAAACCTAAAAAAAAAAACAATAAAGGAATTGTAAGGAAAAAATAGTGCATTTTTTTTCTGCGTTGCAGGAAAATAATTGTAAGCATTTTTTTTATGTTGCTGGAAAATAATTGTAAGCATTTTTTTAAAAAAAAGCGAGAATGTAGGTTTCATAATTTATGAAATGTATTTTGTACAAATATGGGAAAGTCAGTTTTGTGAAATCTGGTGAGTAACTGATTGTGAGGGGATATTTCATAAATCATAATAGTGAAACTGCACTACTTTACATAAAGGAAACAGAAGAGAAGTCTTCTTTGCTTTTAAGTAAGTAATCAGTCTACAAGTTAAAGGTCAGTCCTCATCACTCACTCACCAGGGTTGGGCTGAAGTAACACCTCGGTCTGGCTGATGATCTTGTCAGTGCAGGTCTTCGTGGTCTCTGCTCTGGTCAGCAGCTCCTCCACAGTCGGGTCCAGCTCAGTCTTCTCCGCCTGACCTAAACTCTCTCCCGTGTACTGAAGTGAAATGGCAAACCAACATTTATAACTTTGACTATATATTATAATTTAGCAACACTAACCATATTTGAGTTTGGTCTACCTGAATGGCTCGGTTGATGAACTGTCCAGCATCCACCGCTATCCTCGTCAGATCCATCCCCAAGGTCGCGCTGTTACCCGGGCGTTTCTGAAGCTGACTACGCGGTCTGTCCGTCAGCACCGAGCTACAGATGGAGCTTAGACACGGCTACGACAACCGCAGCGACCAAACAGCACCGACTGTCCACCGAACAGACCATGACCTCAACCTGTCAAGATTAGTCAACTTCAAAGCTGACGACACCAGCGCCGACACCTGCTCGTTTATGTGGTTAACTGTTTATCCGCCAGACATTTGGAGTCAAGATTGACATTTTACCACAGACTAACAGCTTTAGTCTGTCAGCCAAACACACGAAAAGATCTAAACTGAAACAAGCGTACATTAATTTCACTAAATAACGATAAATATGACGTATATGCATAAAACGACCTTGTATAACATTTTCTGACCGAGTTCTCGGCATCTTCATCACCGGAAGTGAGTGCACAAACTTCCGGTCGTAGAAACGTTTTAAAAGTACTATATATAAACCCCAACTATATTAATTTACATAAAAAAAAATTACGTATCTGTTTTTTGTAATAAATACTGATATTTACATAAAAAAAACTTAGGTATCTGTTTTTTGTAATAAATACTGATTAAAGGCAAAGTAACCCTGAACTTAAATAAATACAATAAATGTTAATAAATTCATTTTTGAACGTTAGTAGCAAAAAGTTTGCCGGGTAATCTAGAAATAGTGAAAAGGTAACAGAAAATGGCCAACAAAATGTATATATGTTGCCCATAGAAACATATATAAACATATATCAAAAATGTATCCTGGAAAAACAGTAAACCATAAAATAAAAACATTCTAATAAAAAGCATAGCAAAAATAGGTGAAGAATATAAACCTAAAGGAACAATTATAACCATTAGTAAGAAAAGAAATGCTAAGATAATTACAGAAATCTAAGACCATACACTTGCAAAAACTATTTCTAAAAGCTAGCTATTCCGCAGCTTTGGCTGAACTAAATTAGATTGGAAAAAGCCAAGTGAGAGCAATGATATATTAATTAAAGATTTAAAAAAATAACTATAGTCCACAATACTATCAATTAAATAACAATAGACACAAATGGCTTAAAGTTCGTAATTTACTAAAAACAAAAACGGCTGGAATAATGCCATTTGCTTGCCTTCTTGTGAAGATCCATAATACTGGCATGAGGTGAAGAAAACAGGTGACCCAAGACAGAGTCAGAAAAGATCTTTGGGACAGTATCCATGTCCTCTACCCAAAAGCCATGTGCAGCAAAAACCAGGCATTGATCAAAAGCAGAAAAGCAATGATTGTAAATACAGTAACTCTTTGAGTGTCTAAACTCATGACTGAGCAACACAGAGTAGTAAAAACTGCCGTCTTTGACTGTGTAGTGTTATTCTTGGCAGATGTCTTCAGCCTCTTAACGCTCTGCTCTAATTGGTTCTTGTGTGCAGTACATGAGAGGATTGGACCATGGAGCACCAGCAGGAGAGCAACACAGAGAGGAGAGGATTAAAGCAATCAATCTGAGAGGCTGCTATAGTGAATCCATAAATGGTTAAGACATTACAAGACACAGACACCAATACGTTAGGAAAAATTCCTTTATAACAAGACCCTGTACAGAAATTCACCATATATAAATTTAAATTACAACTGAACGGGAGAACAAGGAAATATTATACAGATATATTTCTTCATGAAAACATTTAATGTTTCTTTTGCAACATGAACACAACATCCCTTATACTCTAGACTTGTCTTTAAATATATTATAGGTAAGGTGCCCATCCCAGGTACATCTGACACAGCAGCTTGTCATCTGTAGCCTCCTGTATGAGGTAGTGGACATGTCCCTCTATTGACAGAGGAAGACCCATCACTTTGTTCCTGCTCTTTATGACGCCCTGCAGACGCTGCTCAATGTCACACACGTGGGTTTTGGCCTGTTAAAGGTAGAGAAGAAAAGGACATTTTCATTGAAAACAAAATGATAATTACATTTAGGTGATACTACTGAGAGAAATAGAAATAAATAATAATAAAAAAAAAAACAACATAAAAAAATAGACAAACCTTCTCATTGACAATCTCTCCAGTCTCGTTGGCCTGAGTTTTCACAAGTCCTTTGGCTTTTTTGCTCCACTCCACCAGGGGGTCATGAAGGAAGGTCTTCAGCACACTTAAAGGAATGTAAAACAGCTACGTGTGATGTGAAGAAGTAATATTCTAAATTCATGACAATTTCACAAGAGAAAAACAATGTTAATTAAGGAAAACTTGAATGACGTTAAGAGTGTAAAAGTTATGCAACAGGAGGAAGATCAGAGCTAATTAAGGAAAACTTGAATTTTTAATATGACGTTAAGAGTCCAAAAGTTATGCAACAGGAGGAAGATCAGGTTTTTGGGTGTCTCTGTGAGATGAGGAATAAATGTTACCATTTTTAGAAGATATGTTAATTTTGCCCTAAGAAAGAGTTGTTTTGTTTTTTTTAATCTGGTTTTGACAAACTGAGCAGCCTTGTTGAAGGTCTAAGCTCCCTGAGGATTTTTTACTGTATTCCTCTGACCTTGTAAGCGGCTCCCTCTGGTCTCTCATTAGTCTCAGTGTGACCTCACAGGCCTGTCTGAATAAACCTTCAGTTCCCATAGGACCCATGGCATGGACCATGTTTTGAGTCAGACGGAAAGGAACAACCTCAGGTACATCAAATGTCTCCCCCTAGTGGTGAGGAAAAGAAGAAGCATATGCAAAACTCGCATGTCATTCGTGTGTTTTCTGTCAAACTTATTCAACAAATCTGAGCTCAACGCTCAGTGATTAACCCTTTAAGCAACCAAACCAAACCTTGTTAAAGAGGCAGTTGAAGTCGACGTGAACGCAATCCCCAGTGAAGGAGTCAAAGAGGATATTTTCTCCATGTCTATCTCCCAGACCCAGGATGTAGCCCACCATGGACATCACAGCAGTGGAGCGACAGTAGGCAGAACGACTGCTGTACCTGTGAGGAGTTACATGTTTGTTTTTGTTCAGAAACTACAGCAAACCTTTTTTAAAATGTTTGCTGTAGTAACTGTGACAGTTCCTCAGTGGGTTGTACCATGATGTGGGGTCAGGAAAGGTCCTGAGGAACCACTCGTAGAATACAGGTGGGTGTCTAGCACAGAGAATGTCCTTGTGGATTCGGAACTTCTCCTCGAAAGGAGCCTGTTTTGGTAAGATGAGTTTCCGGAGCTCTTTGCCTGACAAGTAGATGCCTAAAAAAAAAAAAAGAAAAAAAGAAATACATCTCATCTTTTGAAATGAGCTCATCTCAATGATGACGGTTCATTAATTTGGTCTTCGACCTTTTGAAATGAGCTCATCTTAATGATGACGGTTCATTAATTTGGTCTTCACCTCTTTCTTTGTACAGCTTTATGAGAATGTGTCGAAGTCCAGCAGTGTTGTTGACCCACTCGATGATGCCACACTCCTCGTTGAGGGGAATGACAGCGTAGGTTCGAATGTGTAGCTCTCTCCGCCTCGACTCTGCGTCTTTACGAAGGCACTAACACAAACACGAAGAAGTACACAGAGCTAAACAGAAGAGATTTGACAGTTGTGGTATCAAATATACAAATATTTATGTAATACATGTTTGACCCTTCTTCATAATGTAATCTTTAATTATCAAATTAATAAAAAATGTAAAAATACAATAACTGGTATTTTGTGTCCTCCATCTTACATATGAGTCTATTCCTAGTCTAAGTTCCAAGACATTAAAATTAATTTCTAAAGGTGTCGTATCTCATCATTATATCTCTGTGAGGTTTTGAACTGTGTTCTGTTTTATTTGAACAGTTTTATTTCAGTTTAAAAAGTTCGTATTTAAAAATAAGGAATGTAAAGAAAATACTTTTTGATATTTCATTAAGATAAGATGATTTCCAATTTGTCTTAGAACTTTTTGACTTCTAGACACACACCTTGTTGATGAGGCAGTTGAACTCCATCAGTCTGCAGTCCTTCCTCAGGTCATCCTTGGGTTTGCACATCATGGTGTAGCTCCGTCCGTCCGAGCCCTTCAGACTGATTTTTTTAGGTTTTTGTAAGGAGGCCAGGATCTCCACCTGTGCAGAGGTATGAAGGCTGGTTGACAAGACGCAAAATCTGAAAACATTTCAGTAAGACCTGTGTATCTACAGAAAACTTACACTGTCTTCAAATCCGTCCAAATAAGCCCAGTGTCCAGGAAAGGCGTCGTGCTGTGTGTTTGCCCCTTCTGTAGAGGGCAGCGTAGGGATGAGCACCGACTGAAGCGGGATCAGAATTTGGCTGAAAGTCGACTCTTCCACCAAACGTTTCAGCTGTTTGAAGTGAACAGCCATGCTGAGGGTGGCGCTGTTCCCGTCCACCTGCAGGATACAGTCAGACGCTGTGGCTTCACACATATTTACATGTTTAACTATTGTGTTTTGTGACCCAGACACAAAACAAAACACAAAAACACACAAATGTATTTCTTTAAGTAGTGCTCACCGGTTTGTTGCAGAGCTCCAGCAGCTTGTCAGTCAGTCTGGTTGCATCTCCAATGAATTTCTCCAGAGACTGTTTCAGACTGATGGCCTTCTTAAGAATCTGATTACAGCGGTTCATACGCATGGGGTAGGAGGACTGGGGGACAAATTAAAAAACAAGGTTTTAGATACAATTATTTATTTACAAAAGAATTCTACTAAATCTTTGGTGACTTTGGTGTTTTTATCTGAGCCATAAATTGGTCAACCTTAAAATATTATCTTGAAAAAATATTTTGGATGCTTTTTGATATTTGAGTTTGTACTAAATGCCTAGTTAAATTTAGCTCCCAGCTCCAAAACTGTCATGGTAGTATCAATACAATGTACTGTAAAGTTAACAGGAGCAGTTCCCATAAGACATTTTAGTGGCATTATGTCTCTAATCTGTGGGAATAAAAATCACAAAAAACCAACAACCAATCCTGACCTTGCAGACAGCAGTCATCAGCCACATAGCCTGCTGAGGGTAGGCCAAGAAGACTTTGGCTACGATTGCCATGAGAACAGCAAAGACATCGTCACTGGAGTGACAGACTCTGGAGATGAGCTGAGAGAAAGCCGTCAGGAACTGATACGGCGCCAGATTTTCACAGTGTTCACTGACGACAGCGTTGATTTTAGTCAGTTCCTGTCGCATCTGTCTGTCTACTCGACCGGCTGTGGGGACAAATATGTTCAATACAAATATATAAATATAGATTTATATAGATTTACATTTAAAAACTAGACAAAATTAGTTGTGCAAATATATTTATAAATGTATACAAATATATGTTATCACAGAGAGAGAGATATAAATATAGACCAACCTTTTTCACATTCACACACTTTGGCTCCAAAATCCAACCAGAGAGACAACATTCGAGGCATGGCCTGGTAAATGTACTGGTTTCCATATTTTAAGGCACTGAAAGAAAAAAAAACATTTAAGTTACTGATGAACAAACCACAGAGTCCAAAGTCCAAAGAGGTGTAAACAGAAATCCTCTTACTTTCCAAAGTACATGACAATGTATCTGATCAGGTTTCCCTGTTTCTCCATCTTGTTTTCAGTCACCATTGGCATCACTTTGTCGTAGTATTTGGCCAAGTAGAAGTTTCCATCCTCCCACTCTGGGAGAAGAGTGGTCACATCCTAAAGGACACAACTCACTCTGTAGTTACTGTAAACACACTTGCTGTATCTGTAGTTCCATCAGATTTTGTTACTGGATGTCAGTAATAATTTAACTTTAGCCTTGAGGAAGGTAAATGTTTTGTCCTGGTCAATGAAAATTTCCATGTGACTTCTTCTTCTTCTTCTTCTGTTTCCTGCCACTGTTACCTTGTACGTTTTCATGACAGCGTTGGACTCAAAGTTGGCCGTCTCCTCCATGAAGCGTCCCACCAGCAGCATGGCTTTGCCTTTGGTCTGCAGACTTCGAGAGTCTGTCAGTGACACGTCGTCAGGGAAACACTGTGCCACTCCTTTCTGCAGGACGATCAGAGCCTGGTGGACGTCACCCTGATGACAGAGCCATGCACAAGGTTTGAGTCAAATACTGTACATACTATTGACTTTTACTACATAAACATGTACTTTAGAGTGTTTTTATACCTTAGACCAGAGCCACTTGGCCTTCTCTGTCACCAGCTCGGCCAGATGTGTGTTTTCTGTGTTTAGGAGAGCGTTGAAGGCAGTTTGATGGTGTCCTGCCTTTCTGGCGACACGGGCGCTCTGTAGCCAACACTCACCCACCAGCTCCTTACACACAGACCTGCAGAGCAAATATATGTAAAGTAAAAAGTGATGAAGTGATACGACATGATTTTTGTGCAACTGCTGCTTTGTCCTCACTGAGATCCCAGACTGAGCAGCGCACGACGGAGAGCCAGGATTGGCTCCTTGGCCCTAAAGGAATTCTGGGTCATCTCCAGCCGATGGGTCCAGTGAGGAGGCAGCTGACTGAGTCTGGGAGTTGAAGTTTCCCTCTGTTTTTGCAGATCAGTGAAACTGTGCTCCAGTTCACTCAGCATGTGGAGCCTGAAGACACAGACAGACAAATGTTTGCTTCTGTTTTCACTGAATACATTCAGAGAATTCTAATCTATGACCATATTAAAATCCCTCTGACCTGATAATATACTCATATCCTCTCTGGTAGGTCCCACACTCGTAGCTGGCAGCAGACAGAGGAACCACCTGCTCCTTCCTCACGAGTTTCAGCTTCTCATAAAACATCTTTCCGTCCTGTTTCTTAGCTGACAGCAGCAGCTGACCGAGTCGAACACCCCAGGTACTGGACTGACGGTCTGAGACAAAACAGTTGTACAAAGTCTGTGGCTGCACCGGGCTCTGAGTGACACTTTTCCATGGCTTTCTTTTTTTTAGCCTCACCTGAACTCAAATAATCCTCCAGAAGATCCCACTGTCCCAGCTTCCAGGCAGCCTCCACTCTGTAGGAGTTGAGTTCTGACTTCCACTGCGACCTGAAGGAGTTGACCTCCGTTATTTGATGTCCAGTAAACATTAGCTACAGTTTAACATCTCAGCTGGTATTTAAGAGATTGGTTCTAAAGCTGCAGGTCAGCCATAATAGTAAAACAAGCCCCTCACTGGTCCACACAGGTGAGCTTAACGGCCAGTGATGCCTTCACTGTCGTAGGAAATGGTTCATAATTTTTTGTGCTGATGCAGATACAATGAACGTAACATTTAGAATCTATTGACTTGCAGATTGTTTTAAGATAAATTATAAATTTATAGGGAACAAGTGGGATTTATTCAACTCATAATAAGGGAGTTAACTCAATGTTTACATATTAACAGATTTGACAACCCTGATAAAACAGATCCTCACAGTTTAAAGGGGTGTGTTAGACTCTGTGTTGTAGATCTCGAGTTAAGTTTAAAGACTGAGGTTTGTCCCTGAAATGGACAAGTAAGTGTCCATCTCCTCATAATTACAGTCAGACTCACTCACTTGTTTGCCAGAACTCCATTAACCTGAGTGATGACTGTGGACAGTTGTCCCAGGCCGAGCATGGAGGTCATCACCCCATGGTAGTGACCAATCTGGACGCAAAAGGAAGAGCAACAATCAAACAAAGCCAAAGCTAAAGCTAAAATATTGATCCAACAATCATCGGTTTAAGATATAATGTACATATAAAGTACAGTGTGCATGTGTGTATTTCTGTAACCTGCTCCGACTCCAGTTGTATGGCACGGTCATAGCAGGCGGTGGCGTCTCGGAGCAGACCGATGCTCTCGTGCTCCAGAATCTGTTCTCGCAGTGACGGCTCCTCCCTCCTCAGAGCGTTGACTCCTCTCACTCCATCAGGCTCATGCATAGCAGCGTAGAGAGTCTGTATGATCCGAAAGGGCAAAACCACATCTGTGTGAAAAATATTTCTTTTAAAAGATAGTATTTCTGTTGTATTTAATTCCCACTGACCTGCAGGAAGGTGAGATGGTCCTGGATGTTCTCTTTATTTTCCAGGATGTAAGCTTCAAAGTGCATGAGGGCACGGGTGTAGGCTTTGGACCGTAGAGCAGCCTTGGCCAGAACGTCCTGTGGAATTCCCTTCAGGAAGGCCACCACACGCTGATAATCCCCGCTCTCTGGAAGGGCACAGTTGTTGCCTGTAGTTTGACCAATCAGTAGATAGTACAGGTTTTTAATTTATAAACATAAGATACAACTTCACTTCTCACAGTCTGTTTGTTCACACTGGGACAATTTCAGGATATTGATCGTACTACTACAGGGTCCTTAAGTGAAGCTGAGTGGGTGGATCAATCATTATTCTTATCGTGATATAATTTGTTTTAAGAAACTGAATCCTGAATTTTGTCCTCATGAGTCGATGCTGTTCATCTTGTGTCGACTGTGTAGTCTGACATATTGTCTAAACAAAACAAATACTACACACAACTTTAAATCTCACACGGTGTCTGTTTACAGGTACGAGTCTCCTACCGTTTTGTTTGGATTTAGAGCAGAGGATGTGGCGACTCCACTGTTTCAGGTGAGACAACATGCTGAACACCGTCTGAATGCTGAGCTGGGACAGTGTGGACGCCGTCTCCTGGACACGAGCCCCTCCTTGTCCGTCGCCCTCTGTCAGTACGGTCAACATCTCCTCCGTCACCTGAGGGATGTTGACGGTGTTGTAACAAACCTTTTCTTTTTCTTTTACTTGTAAATGTTGACCAGGAGTTAGAGAACAGACACATCCTACAGTCCTGCTGCTCCTCAGCTGTGCAGCCCAGCAGCATGTAGAGCAGAATGTGAGGCAGCAGGTAGATGGTGACCTTGTAGTCGTGTTTGATGATGAAACTGCAGCAAGTGAAAACCTTACCAGCCAGACCATGTCTCACCTGGGAGAAAACAGATCCTGTATTTTTACTCTGAAACACAGCTGGTGTCCATCTGCAGTGTCTCCAATTAATTAGCTAAAAAAGGTTTACAGTTTTAAATGATCACTCTAAATGAACTCTAATATATGTATGTATTATAGGCATTCAAATGTCCTAAAGTTGGGCAAACGTATTTGATGTATTTTCTTTATCTTTAAGGGCATATCCTTGTGTAGAGGGAGTTAAACTAACCTTACTGATGAGATAGCCTGCCCAGGTGGCTGACCAATCAGAGAACCTACTGCCTCTGTTGCTCAAGTAAACTGGTTTCTTCAGTTTGGACCAGTTCACCTCCTTCTGGCTGCTTTTATATCTGCAGGTTAAAATAAAAAATAAAAAGTCAACATTAAAAAAAACAGTAAAAAAAAAAAAAAAAAAGAAAACCATTACGTTGAAGTTTTTATCATAATTAATTAAAAATGCTACACATGGCAAAGACAACAATCTGTGGAGTGAAGGTTCATGTTGGAAGAAAGTTCTCAACCTGCTGTTGAGGTGAGGTTCTAGTATTTCCTGGATCTGTTCCGGGAACCTCCTCCACAGTCGACGACCTGAAGAGTCGATCCGTCCTTCACGGCACTCGAAGATGGACAGCAGCTCCTGAGGAGACCACGAAGACATCAGCAAAAACACAGACCAGGGCAAAAGAACAGAAGGATAAAAACCATCCATCCCTGTACAGTGTGTTTACCTGAATTGCATAAGCAGCAGAGTCCTGTGCTCTGACATTATCAGCATAAGCCAAGAACGTTCTGGTGAGTTCCGTGAGCAGGTCGTAGGCAAAGTTGGGATCATCAACGCCACTCTGTGATGGAGAGAACATTTACTGTGGCTCTGTTAACTAACGAACATGTTAATTAATTTGTGAAATTAATCAGATTAAAATCTATTCACACATTACAACTATAATTTGTATTAGTCACAAAAAACTGAAAAGTTGGTATATGAAGATTAATCATGATTAATGTAATTAATTAGAATGAACAATTTAGTTCCTAACACTGATATAATTATTTCTCCAAGGATTTCGTTTTTCCTCACCACAAATGTGTTGTGGTCACCATGGGTGAGTGTGTGGGACAGGTCCAGACGTCCAGGGTCCACGGCGCCCAGCTCACCCAGACACTCCCCACACAGCAGCCTGGCCTCTGGGGAGGAGTCCTGGCAGCCCTTCAACAGCACGGACACCAAACTGGAGATGACGGGCTCCACCGCCTCACTCGCACAAACCTGACGCAGGACCCACTCCTATTGGTCCAAACACAGTCACATGTTACTTCACAGTGTGGCTTTATTAAAGTAGGTAAACAGCTGACAAAATAGGGATGGAAGTTGTAAATAGGAGTGAGAGTTGTAATACTAGTAAGAGATTCTTGATAATATTGTATTAAAGGTTTTAGAGTGATAACTTTAGGGAGTATAACAAGTATACAGATTTACAGTAGTACACACAGACAAATACTGTAGGGTAAATAAAATGTACAGTATGGAATAAGGTGGTAAGGTATGTGAAAAGTAATAAACTGTAGGGTTAATACACTAACTCTTCAAGGTCACTTCTCTTTTTTCTAACTAGCAGTCGCCCCCTGGTGGCTAAGGCCTGACCTAATGGTTTTTTTTTACCAGAAAACCACTAGGTGAGTCTGTTGTACCTGGTTGCTGTGCATCATGTCTCTGAGACTGGTCAGTGCATGAATCCTGACGTCCACGTTCTCGTGTTGGACAGCTCTCATGGAGAGCTGCAGCGCCGCCACCAGGTCATTGCTTTTGGCGGTGAGCTACACAGACCATTATACATATATGCACACACAAAGGAAAATTGTTAAACATAAAAATCTGTGTTTGATTTCATTGCATGTCATTAATTTAACTTTTTAATAGCACATGTTCCCACCTTCTTGTAATCCTGCAGAACACCATGGATGTCCTTCAACTCTGGGTGATCAGGGAGGAAGTAAATCTCATGGAGGTAGTCGTTGACTTCTTCCCTGTAATAAATCCAAACTAACTGTTTATCTTTAGACATTTTAAGGTTTTATAATAAACAGGTCAAAAACATAGCACATTCACAGTTTAGTTTTTATCTCCAGGGTCTTGATCTCCCCCTCCCGCCCCCCGTGTGTTCAGATTCCCACCTGTTGTCAATGATGAGGAAGCGGATGATAGCAGCAGTTTCTTTGGGCTGCAGGGGGATCAAAGGGAGGAGGGCGACAATGACGTGGCTGAGTAGAGGACCTAAGTGTGACGTCTCCACACTTCTGACAAAACAGTCCCACATCCTGTACACACACACCGCAAAGACAGGATACGACACGACTAATGAAGATACGACAATAATAAAATTATCTCCGTTGTGGTAAATCACTTAAATATTAGAATGAATATATACTGTATGTAGTGTAGAGTATGTATGTGTGTTACTGACTGGCAGCAGAGCAGAGGGTAGTCCTCTCTGTATTTGAGGCCTATACGCAGCGTCGTCATCATCTTCACTCTGACAGAGCTGATGTGTTTGGATCCCATCAGTCTCATCAGAGACATCACACTGGTCAGAGCCTGAGACAACAGGGCATTTCACATTCACAAGATGAAACAGCCACACACAGGAACACAGTGTCAATCATGCAGTAAACTCCACCTGCAGTTATCTCACCATTTTCTTCCGATTCTTCTCTCCCGCGCTTGAGCTGAGCAGCTGCATGTTGAAGAAGGCAAGAATTCCAAGCAGCTTTGGCTGAAGGTAGTCGGCCTAAAACATAAATAATAATGTTTTTTTCTCAAATATGTACTGAAGGTTTTTCTCACTGCAGAAGAAGACTGGAAACCACTGGTGCAATGAAATGATTGAAAACATTGAGTGTTTTTGTGTTTGTGATCTTGTACGATAACAACTGAATGAACTAGAGTTTGGTCTTCCTTTACCATGCACTCTGGTGTAGTGATGTCTCTTGGACCCTGGTACGGATCATCATTGGAGGCAAATGCAGCCAGAATTGCCAGACCGTTAAACACCTAAAATAAAAAAATAGAAAACAATTTTTTTAATATATTGTAGAAATACATTATTTCTGTACAGAAAATACACAAGCAAAAGATTAACTTTTGAATAAAAATGGTTTTGTCTGTATGTGTTGACCTGTTGGTAGTGTTCTCCCAGACGCAGCAGCAGTTCGTTGTGAAGACCCTGGAAGTCTTGTCTGAGTAAAGAGCCCAGTTTAATTTCTGTCTCACTCTGAAGAACAGAAACAAAAACTTCTTTAGACCCGTGAGTAGAAACATTTACTGTCAGATGAGTTACTTATTACCTGTAGGTAGTGGAAGGCTCTCTCCAGCTCATCCTTGGTGCAGGAGCAGACCAGATGACTGAAGATGTATTTAAAGTTGTTGATCAGAATCTCTCTCCTGTTGGCCTTCAGCTCATTAGCTAGTGTTCGGATGAGGGCGGAGCCCGTAGAGCTGGCCTTTGCTGCCAGGTATGGCAGCAGCACCTGGAGGGTTTTCTGAGTAAACAGGGAATTGAGGAAAATGCTACAGACAATGTTCATGAAGATGCTGCGTCTGAATTCAAATATTTACGTACAGTGAGGAAGCGATGGAGGTCTGGGAAGTCAAACGCATGAGCGATCTGAGCCAAGATGTCCAGAGCCATCTCTTTCTGATTGGCTGACTCACTGTTCTGGTCAGGTGTGCTGCGCAGGCCCGACATGTGGCGTGAATGAAGAGACTCCACCAGAAACTGCACAAAGAAAGTTACAGAGCTGTTTCAAAGCAGAACTTTTGTGGCTTTTTTTTACTCTGAGCATACTCAAAATATTGTTGCAGGTGCTATGCAACATATTCAAGTTACAACACACACACACATCACTGTGCATATAAAGGGACAAAAGCACAACCTACTGGTACGATCCCGATTTTTTTTATTTCTAAACAAATGAAACAAGTAGAGTAACTGACCATACATGAAGTTTATATTAGCACCAAATGTATTTTAAATAAGTGCAGCCTGCTGCTAACTTCCTGATGTTATGATAATTATTGGTAACAGTTTCTAATGAACACAGTGGACATGAGCAATGCTCAC